CTTATAACTTAAATTCCTTTTCATGCTCTTAACCTACAGAAAGTTGAAAAATCTGAAACCTGGTCAGTGTTGTGCTATGTGGATGTAGCAAGCGAACAAAAAACAGATTTGCTGTCTAGAATGAGAATTCTTCATTTTGTGAGAGATCCTTCTTGCAGGCATACGCGAGAAACTGTACGGAAAAACAATTCATCTGTTCTGTATAGAAGTAATTTTATAGATAGAAGATGATATAAGGAATTTTATGCCATATGAATGGATTATAATTATGCGCATAAATATCTTTCAAAAACTATCTGTTAACTATTATAAGTAGCGTATCAAGCTATTTGACGACGATCTTTCCAGGTCATCTGTCATTTCATATTCTCCCAGGAGAAGCCTTTTTTGAATATCGTGCTATTACAGCCTTTATCAGTGGGGTAGGTAACAGGAATTTCAATTTCAATTTTTCCGAGCAATCAAAGCAAAATTCAAAAACGTGATAGACCACGTGACTGTGAAGTATGTATGAAGTGATATTACTACTACGCTCCGTTCCGTAAACTACGAGTTCTGACATTGCTTTGATAAGATATCAGTGTGACTGACGATGATACCTAACACAGACAATAAAGGAATTTTTTATTTGATTACAGATCATTGTTATGGTTATTTTGATGCATGCATATATAAAACAAATATACATGAATGTTTATTCTGTCTTGCAGCAATTCTGAGAAAGTTATTTCCCCCTTTTTCAGAATTTCCTTGAAATAATAATATCGTTAGCTGTGCCCCACAGACATTCTTAGTAATACATTATTACATATTTGTTTTCAAGCATATTCGTTAGTCCATAACCAGAATAGTAGATGAAATCCTAATTGAAATCGCTCAGCTCGATACGGCTATTATAATTAATTTAAACCGATTATTTATTATTCTGCAGAGTATGGTATTTAAACTCCTTACTTTTACTGTAATATTTCATTTATCAAAATACTTGATTATTATACCTTAAAAGTTTTAGAACAAAAATATAGTAAAAAAAAGATGATCACATTTCCCAAATGCAATAATTGGATTACGGCAAAGCACTGGAGGGCTATCTATCTAAGAGGAGGGATGTCTTAGTGGAGGCCTTTCTAAGACAGATTGCTTCATATTAACGTTACAGATGAAGAAAACCCCGAAACCTCCCATGAAGCCAGTCCGTTCGTCGGATATGATTTCCTGCTGCATTACCACTGTTCAATGATTTTACCTAATTGCCGCTTGTGGGCCAGCAAACACTTAAAAGGGAACACAATTCAAATTTGAAAACAATGAAAAATATTTTATTGACGATAATGGGAGTTTAAAGTAACTAAATGATCTTTCGAAACATTCAGATTGGATTTTTGAAGATTTAATATTGATTAACCCAATTATTATACTATTTTATCTACACTATCACTTCAGTTTTTGTCAACTCTCACCATGATGCAAATTACTTAATGGATATAAGTATAGAATTCTTAAGCTGGGAGAGAGTGAATGAAAGCAGTTGTGCAGTTGTTTTAGGTGAGATTCCAATTGTTTTAATATTTTGATTTTCTGCCCTGCGTATTCGTATTATTTGCTCATAAAAGGCTGACACTTGGAACTTCGTTTCAAGAGAGCTGTAAAATGGTTCTTTCGACATTTGAACGGTTTTACTGTCTGCTTCTGAAAGTATGTGGACTTGAATCTGGATCTGAATTATATAGCGAATTTCAGACTTTGATTGCAGAGGAGGAAATTACAGATTCCAGTCACGAAAGGAGGAAACTGGATTCATCACCGTAAAAGAACTTGCCGAACTAGATGTACTGATTAGAATGGAAGGATTCCCAATCTTAATTTAGCTCACACCCTGCTATATTTTCTGGGAAAACTATTGAATTGATGATTGTTCCTTCTTATAACGAATCAGCCCATATTGGATTCCTACCACTACTCTCACCATTTCCCGAATCTGATGATGAAAATGCAACTACAACCACCGAATTCATGCGCATTGAAGATGAAGCAATGTGATCCAACAATAAAGCGTCTGAGCCCAACGTTTGAGTACATTTCTGTATAAAACTCATTTAATGAATCCTTTTAGAAAACGTTAACTCTGAAGATGAAAAGGTAGAACCAAAAGTCCTAAAACGTCTACTGTCTTATATAGACGTAAAAGCCAAACCCATCACTTAGCTTGACAGGCCCCACCCTCTGCTTCTTTGGAACAAATGGATGAAGCTCCCATTCCAAACAGCTCCAGTGACGATGCAAATGCATGTGAGAATGTTTCAAACCCTTCAAGGGATTCAAAAAACCCTTCCGGAAATTGAAATTGCAAATAATACAGAATTTCAGCACCCGATACGGACTGCCAGAATGCCTCATTTTGTAGTCTAAGACTCTACGTATAAGTGCGGAAGGACTTCATAAAAGTCATTAAAGCTGCTATTACCATGGACTGGAAAAGAAATAAATTGCCTGACACGCATTTTAAAGTATGTGTGAGAAACCCTCAGACTCACAGAACAATGGCTGTTTTTTTATTCATTAATTAAATTAAATTAAATATCACTCCTTCATCTTGCTTGGAAAATGCAACCCTAACATAAATATCGAAAAGCTTTCCACATACACCGAAGCAGATGATATCTAACAAGAAATAATTTCCTTAGGGCATCAACTGTTGAAGACTAAGCAATAGATATAAAGAAGTACTGAGAAATGTACAAAACTACAATTATTCCTGATTGCTGCCTCTAAAAGTGACAGAACATGACCTATCTACAACATTAGATTTATGCATTTCCTTGAAGTAAAGAGCGTGTCATACAGTGTTCGCGTTGGCCACATGCAGTACTACCACTGATACTCCTTCCATCGTACTCAAACTGCGTGTAGACATAACTCCAGGTGTGCCAAGTATGGCAGCCGGCATTTTCAATGGATTGTTCCCCCAAAAAGAGGGTACATCGCAGTGCCAACTTCATCATGAAATATCATGTTTTCGAAACATTTTCAAAATTCTTAAACTCTGACAAATCTAATCATAGAAATTACTCCGATCTCCAACAAAAGTTACCCAGAAGCTCTTGCCGCGCCTACAAAAACGTGTCAGTGACCCTAATAAAGCTCTAGAAGACTTGCAAGTCCTTATCAAATACAGGGTGAGTCAGAATTCATCATCAATATTTGGTGGGGAGGTAGGGAAAACGAAAAGAAGGAGATTTCACATAGGAATGCATGGGCGCATATGCCATGTAGTAGGGCAAAATGACCCCAGTTTAATAATTGAAAGAACACATAAAAAGGAAGTAGTAAGGAAAAAAACATTTATTATCTTACATGTAACGTTTCTTTGCATCGGTTTTACAGGCTTACAAGAGGTGCTCGAACTGCTGACCATGTGCTAGAATGCATGACTCACAACGGCGTTGCATGGACAATCGGACCTTCTGGAATATGCCTGGCATTTACATGCATATCTGCAAGTTCATTCCACGTATACTGGTTCATGTTATTTCTGCAAAGTCACATAGTCGAATGACGACTGGCTGTACACGTCAAACAGCTGTGCTTATGTATGAAAGTTGTGTACATACAGCGCCCTCTACACCACCATGCGTTCGTCTGCACCCATACTTTCCTATGCGAAATCTCCTTCTTTTAATATTCCCTACCTCCTCGCCAAATATTGATGATAAATTCTGAATCACCCTGTATATCAAGAACTTTGGAATTAGCGATCTCGCAGAAAGTACCTAAGAAAAACCTGTTTCAGAAACAGAGACTCCATTGTGAAATCATCATTGCATGTTGGATAACATGCCGAACTGTACTTCCCACAGTTAAATGGCTGTATGAAATACATACAGTCTAAGAAACAAGCTTGATGAGCACGACGACCTCATTCTGAATAATGATACTGACATTCGTCTGCTTACTGAAAAACACGCCACGAGAGTGATAAATTGAAAATTATGAAAATCACGAATCATATTCCTATGGTTGTGACAGGCTTCGTCATAGAGCTGGAAGAATCTTGATCTATGTAAATAATAAATTTTCCTCTTGCTTAATCACCCAGGACAACAGCAAGGTTACGAGATCATGGTTTCTTCAGCCACTCTTCCATACTACGGAGACGTCTTTCTCTTTGCAATGTACCACCTCAGGCAATACACTTATTGACAGCGTTCTCTTCTCCATTATTCCCGAAAATACTGTCATTGTAATTAAAAGATTAGTCTTAGCTAATAAGAAGACCAATCAGCTTACGTCCCCCGAAATATAGCAACTTTCCCTGAGTTGGAATTTCTAGTTAACCACCTTGGACGTAGTATAAATACGGGTTCTGCACGGTGTGCGGTGTGGGCGTGGTCAATGACGTCACAGAGGGCGGGGCCAAAGGCAACGTCATCACACTAGGAGGCGTGGTTCACGAGTGGAGTTGAGGTGTTGGTAGACTGCTGATTGAGTTGTAGACCTCCTGCTTTTCATTTAAAGTTAGTTTTTTTTAATTGGCAACGGGGTCATGGCGTCCTCTAGGGATGAAAAAAGAAAATAATCTATTTAGGAATTGCTCATGGCGTCCTCTAGGGACGAAAAAAGAAAATAATTTATTTTAGAAGTTTCTTTTATTAAAAAAATGTTCTATGATTCAAAATATAGGAATTGAACCCTGAAACAAAATATCTCACCAGCTCAGTAGTTTGAAGATTTTAACCACTAAGCTGACGGGATACATTCAGATTTAGGTAAAAAAAGCCTATATAAGAAAATGGAATTTGAATCAGCTCATCAATTACAATTATGCCTGCCCAGGAGAAGCCACCGTTGCGGTGTGTTTATACACTGTTTTATGTGTTATTTTATCATCCATCTATATTTTTACAGAATTTCATAAAATTCCTATTGATTTTACGCTACGTCTTAACGACAGTGGGAACTTATCATTATCCATATGAAGAATAATTCAATAGGTTATGAATATGAATTTATCGTATCAGGATCCGGCTCATGTTGCAAGTTTTGGTGGTGTTGAAGCTTTACATCGTGCTGCAGGAGGTAAAGTTTCCAGGAAAGAGATTCAAACATGGTTAGAGGGAATAGATGCGTACACGCTTCACAAGCCGATTCGCCGAAAATTTCCAACGAATAGAGTAATCGTGTATTCTATAGATCAACAATGGCAAGCTGATTTAGTGGATGTTTCACATTTACGTGATCATAATGATGGTTATCGATATATATTAACCTGTATTGACATATTATCCAAATATGCATGGGCTATTCCTCTGAAACAAAAGAGAGGAGAAGATATTGTGAAAGCGTTTCAAAAAATAATGAGTCAACGTAAACCAAAATTCCTTCAAACGGATCAGGGCACCGAATTTAAAAATAAAGTGTTTATAAAATTTTTAAAAAGAAATCAAGTTAAACTTTTCAGTACATTCAATACTACTAAAGCATCCGTGGTGGAAAGGTTTAATCGCACTTTGAAAACAAAAATGTGGAAATACTTTACGACTCGAAATACATATAAATATGTAGATGTCTTGGACAAATTAATAGAAAGTTATAATGCTACTTTTCATTCAAGTATATAAAGCGAGCTCCCATAGAAGTCAATTCAGAAAATGAGAGTGATGTATGGTTTACCTTGTATGAAGATCATCCTTCTAACGTTTCTAAATGTATATTCGCTGTAGGAGATGTGGTACGTGTTTCCAAACTAAAGCTTACTTTCGAAAAAGGCTATGAAACCAATTGGACGGAAGAACTATTTGTGGTGACAGAGTGTGTTAAAAGACATCCAGCCGTGTATAGAATTAAAGATTTACTTGGAGACTCAGTAAAAGGAACGTTTTATGCACAAGAGTTGCAGAAAGTGAGACTGAAAGAGGAATATCGCATTGAAAAAATTTTAAAGAAACGTATGCGTAAGAAAACAGACAGAATACTTTGTAAAATATCGCGGTTATCCCGACAAATTCAATCAATGGATTCCAGCTTCTAATTTACTGTCGATATAAAGTGTGAGAAAATACTGTATCCGAATCATTTGTGAAAATGAGTTTCTACGTAACACTTCCGAGCGATAGCTCTATGAATTATTTCCCCGAAAATAAAATTTCACATTTTATAACACGTTTACCTGTTCCCATTGAATTAAAAGGTATGTGGGAAGTTGGTTTGGTTGAATTGCTATATCCGCACACATGGCACAATGTGAATGCAGACAATAACTTAATTGGATTTGTTTTAGAGAAAGATGGTGAAATGTTAGGTCGTAGATTACCTCCAGGATGTTATGAAACAGTACCTGATATTTTAAAAGCTATTTATATTAAAGAACATCAAAACAAAATAATATTTAATTATAACCCAGTAACAAAACGAGTGAAAATCAAAGTGAAAAATAACGCTAAAGTGATTTTACATGATGGGTTAGCACAAATGTTAGGTTTTGAACCTATGGAAATTACATCTACAGATGATAGTTCCGAAACTGTTGTAGAAAGTCCTTTTGCAGCCGACCCCTGTGCACATTATCGTGTATTAATGATATATACGGATATTGTAGAACCTCAAATCGTAGGAGATGTTTTAGCTCCTCTTCTTCGAATTGTAAGAGTAACTGGTAGCGATGGAGAAGTGGTGAGTGCACTATTTGATAGACCTCATTATTTACCTGTGAATCGGAAAATGATAGACACTTTGGAAATCGATATAAGAACGCATATGGGAGCATTTACGCCATTTGAACGAGGAAGGTCATACGTGAAACTTCATTTCCGTCAAAAATACTTGTCATAATGTATGTACCTTATCAGTGTTGTCAAAAATCTTTTGAAGATTATTATGTACAACAAACAGGACATGGATTGAATTATTATCAAGGTAATCTTTATCAGAGAGGATACGGATTAGGGGGTCTATTCAGATCCTTCTTTCGCGCTGCCGTACCTCTTATTAAATCAGGAGCCAAAGCAATTGGAAAACAAGTATGGCATAGTGGACTGAATTTGTTAAATGATGTATCACAAGGACAAGATGTAAAAGAGGCTGCTAAGCGTCGACTGAAAGAAGCCGGAAATATATTAACGGATAAAGCTGCTACTAAAGTGAAGAACATGATTGGTTCTGGACGAGTCAATAAAAAGCAGAAACGTAGGAAAAAGCGTACCATTTCTCACCGATCAAAGAAGGTGAAAGCACAGGATATTTTCTCTTAAAAAAAAAAGTATGACTTCGTATATTACATCGAGACTCTCCCGTTTGCGTCAAATCTGAATTAGATTTATTTACCATTCCTCCTACGCAAACAGCTATAGAAAAAGGACAGTTTGTGGAATATCACCCTCTCGCAAATATACGAGATGGAGGACCTATCGAATTTAATATTTCTGGCAGTGGTGAAGACTATATTGATCTAGCTGCTTCTTATATACACGTGAAAGTTAAAGTAGTTAAGGCAGACGGATCCAATCTAACAGACAAAGAACCGGTTGCCCCTGTAAATTTATTTTTACATTCTCTCTTTTCGCAAGTAGATGTAAGTTTAAATGAAAGAAACATTTCATCTGCGACAAATACCTATCCCTATAGAGCCTTCATCGAAACATTATTGAATTATGGGGAAGATGCAAAGAAAAGTTTACTCACCTGCGAAGGATTTTTCCAAGACACTTCACCTAATAAAATAGATGTCTTAGCTCAAGATGCGGATGCTGGACTAAAAGCTCGCGGTGAACTTATAAAAAACAGTCAAAGTGTGGATTTGATAGGACAATTACATTGTGACATTTTTCAACAAAATCGACTCATGTTAAATTTAGTTGATGTGAAAATTAAAATGGTGCGTAGTAGTAAATCTGCTTTCTGTCTAGTTTCTACTGAGAAAGATGCCGATTATAAAGTGATCTTGGATCATGCTTCTTTGTTTATCAGAAAAGTAAAAGTAAACCCTGGAGTCTCTCTCGGACATGTAAAAGCGTTGGAAAAAAGTTCTGCTAAATACCCTATAGATCGAGTATTATGCAAAACATATTCAGTATCTAAGGGAAGTTGGTCTTTTATGCAAGATAATGTATTTTTAGGATTGATGCCCAAGCGAGTCATTATTACTTGTGTAGAAAATGCTGCAATGAATGGACAATATTCAATGAATCCCTTTCTGTTTGCCCATCATCATGTCAACTTTATATCGATTTATGTAGATGGACAACCCGTTCCATGTAAACCAATGGACCTTGATTTCGAATCTAATCATTATGTGCGTGCTTACCACAGTTTATTTTCTGGATTTAATCGCGACAAAGGCATCTATTTATCTCGAGAAGAATTTGTGAAAGGACATGTGTTATATGCTTTCGATTTAACTCCAGATATGTGTGATGGATCTCATTTTAACTTACAGCATCAAGGTAATTTGCGAGTAGAAATTAAATTTGCTAAAGCTCTCTCTGTGACTCTCTCGGTGCTAGTCTATGCAGAATTTCAAAACGTGATTGAAATAACAAAATCTCGTCATGTACTATGCGATTTTGCTAATTAAGCAATGGACAGCCTTGAAATAAACAGAGCACTCTCTCAGAATGCAAAGACACGAAAAGCATTTCTGGGAGTTTTTGCAAGTGATCGACTCCCTATCGAGATCAAGAAATATCCAAGTTGCTTTATAGCTAATGTAGATCGTGCATCTGAATCCGGTAGTCACTGGTTAGCCTTTTACATTTCATCCCCACAGCATTTAGAATTTTTCGATTCCTATGGACATGACCCATCCTATTTTCCTGGACCGATAGCCAAGTATGCAGAACGATTTCCACAGATGGACTTTAATTCGATGACTCTCCAAACTAATGTAACAGCAGTATGTGGTCAATATTGCATATACTATTTACATTGTAAATGTCGTGGACAATCTCTCAATGATATATTGTTATCTTTCATACCTCAACATATATCTAATGATATTAAAGTATATAATTTTGTAATCAAGAAATTTCATGTAAGATCTTCTTTCTATCAATAAATACATTTAAACTTTATACATTATGTGTCTTGTCTCATTTAATATGGAATTTCCAAAGCTACAACATCCTTTCACAATGGTGATTTCGGGACCCACTGGATGTGGGAAAACCTATTTTGTACGAGAACTGTTAAAGTATAAAGAGGAAATGTTTTCAACGATTCCCGATAAAGTAGTATGGTGTTATGGAATTTACCAACCTCTGTATAATGATATACCGAATGTTACTTTTGTCGAAGGTTTACCAATTAAATATCAAGAATATTTAGGTTCCAACACATTATTCATCATAGACGATTTGATGAGCGAATGTGGGAATGATAAACGTCTGACTAACTTATTTACAAAAGGAAGTCATCATTTAAATTTAAGCGTTATTTTTATCACACAAAACTTTTTTCACAAGGGAAAAGAAATGCGTGAAGTGACTTTAAATGCACACTATTTGATTTTGTGTAAAAACAGAAGAGATGTCAGTCAAATCGTACATTTAGGAAAACAGCTCTTTCCGCGTCATTTAAAGTTTTTTCAAGAAGTATATGAAGATGCAACCAAGAAACCTTTTTCTTATTTATTCATTGATCTGCGCAGTGAAACTCCGGAAGAATTACGTTTACGCACCCAAATTTTACCTAACCAAGTACAGTATGTTTATCAAATGAAACATTATTAAAAAATAATAAAAACAACAGCTTTATAAAATGCATCATCATTTTATAAAATGACGCTGGTCAAGAAACAGCTAAGACAGTTACAGCTGTTAAACATTTGTCCGTTAAAGTTACGGAAACAGCTATTAAAGAAAATTAATATCAATTGCATAAAAGCTATATGCGAATGTAGTTTAAACATACTCAAAGGAAACGTTCCATTGTCAGAGCAACAAAAGAAGTCTCTCTGTAAGCATAAAACAACTTTACGAAAATTAGGAAATCGTAAGATTTCTCTTGTGAAGAAACGAAAATTAATTTTACAAAAAGGAGGTTTTCTAAACGTTTTGATTCCTGCTGCTCTCAGTGTTCTTACAGGACTAATCAATGGAGTTCACTAAGAAATATGTGTTAGTTCCAGAAGAGATGATGACAAAGCATACCATTTCTGATAAACAGTTAAGTGAATTGGATAAAGCCATGATGATGCATATTTTAAACAGTTCAGTTGACGATCGTGAGAAATTAGTGCGTTATTATGAACTTTTACAAAAGAAATTGAACTTAAAGGAATACAATTCACCCTTTAAACCTCCTAAAGACGACTCACAAAATTCTTTAGACGATTCAGCTGAGATGAGATCAAGAAAGTGAAAGAGGAAGAAGCCCCCTTCATCTGTGACAGACGGCGACAAACAGATGACTGTAACTGATTATTCTACTGTTATCTTAGACAGTGTACCTTTACGAATGAGAAGAAAAGCACAAAATGCATTAGCTATTTTAAAGCGACATCCTGATATTCTTAAGTGGAATGATAAAGGCGAGGTACTTTATCATAAGGAAAAAATTAAGCATTCAAATATTATAGACTTATTCAATATCCTTTTTACAACCAAAAAGAAAAAGATTAATATTCCTGCTAAAAACGAATTTTTAAAAGCCTTGACTGAAATCAACATGCCAATGGACTATATCAAAAATGAAAATTTACAGAATCATGATGTTAATATGAAAAAAAAATATTGCATGTTAAATCTGTAAAACATATACGTTCTCCACGAAAATGGGAACCTTATTAAATGAATAAAATTATTATTTTTACATATAGACTCTTTCTTCTCTCTACAATCAATATTTGTTTTACATCGTTTTTAAATGTTATGAAAAACATTCATTTCACCAAGAAGCTTTTACCTTTCAATACATTTATTTTCAAAGAATAAATTTCTGTATTATACATAAAATATACTTGGAATTTTCTTTCATTAGTTAATGTCAAATTAACAGCAATATCCATTTACTGACATTTGATATACACGTTTGCTTTAAAATTAAAACAAAATTTCAATATATTTCTATTAAAAACATAAGGAAAAAAAAAATAGTCATAACATCAACCAAACACAGAAATTTAAATAGAATAGCTGTACTTATATTCAATGCATTTTTATAATCTTCATAACATTTCGATTCAAAAAACCTATCACAAAATAAATGAACAATTTTTTTCTGCCTTAAAGAATCTCTTATATTTTTAAAATTAATACATAAAAATATATCTTCACCAATATAATTCATCAACACTTATCGTAATACATTCTTGTCTTGTCTTGTTTGGGAAGCCAGTCTATCCGGCGTCATATGTATATTGCGTTATCATGGTAAGATAGGTTAATGGAAAACTCTGATAATCACTGAAAACTTATTTGAAAGAGTGAAAGAGTTGTTATTCTTAAGTTTGACATTACATATATGCATAAGGGTAATCTTAAAAGCATCATCCACTTATCATGATAGAGTAATGGAAAATTTCTAAAACTCTCTGATAATCATATGCGAAAGAATGTATTATCTTAAGGTTGTTGTTGCTATTCCAAGTTTGACAATACATACAGAAGTGAAGGAAGATCCTTGATAAGCGTTGTAGACTTCACGTTATCATGATAAGGGTTAATGGAAGTTGAAATCGTATTCGAAAGAAAAGAAAGTTGTTGTTATCCTGGTTCAGATTACACAAATCTGGAATGTTGGAGAACATTCTTTAATCCCTATAAAACGCTGTTGTCAGAAATGGAAGAAGTCAGTTCGCTCGACAATCTCGGAAAGAGCAAGTCTTCCTGATTAATATTTTCTAAATTGAAAATGTCAACTTTTGAAAATGATGTTGCTGGAGATCTGATAATCAGTATGGTTCCGGAACATGTAAGTTTTTTTTTTTTTTTATAAATATTTTTATTTTGCAAAAATTATTTTAGGGTGGATCATTCTTTCAGGACCTCTTATGTGAGGGAAAAGTTTTAAAATGGATTATTACAGATTAAGTTTTTCAGTTTGTTAGGTATGTTTTACATGATTTACGGTGTGAATTTTTAGTATCAGTGTATGTTTTGAAGTTTTAGTACCTCATTCGAAAGTTTAAACTTATAACGTGAACTTAGTTAACGCTGATAAATGTTTCTTGAAGAGGTATTGATATTTAATTACATATGTATAGTTGTGATTTTTGATATTACATTTTCAGTTTTATGTATTGCATATAATTTGCAAAGTTGTTGTGTTTTAAGAAAGGTAGCGGTACGGTATCAGAAAATGTAGTATGTTAACAATAATCCTTCTCCGTTACACGCTTAAGACATGAATGAATCTTAAATTCCGAAATAACTATGTTTCTCAGTACTTGAAATGCAACGTAAATCCATGTATACATTAAATGTTAGAAAAGAAAAAAAATATCGGTAGTTAGTTAAATATTTTAGATACACACTTTCTATTGAAAATATATTCTTGTTTTGGGGTAGAAGAATTCTATTTGTTATCTTTTAAGTAACGATACAATTGGCAATCTTGCTTTGTGACTTTAACCAGCTTTGCACACGTGACCCTTTTGTGAAGAGTTTCTACCTGATCATTATCAGCGATCGTTTCCGTATTTGTAAAGATTCTCACTTAACTGCTCGCTTTCAGGGTATTATTCACTTCATGTTTTTCCGTATCTTTGAGTTAAATGCGAAAGGATTTAAATCTTGAGGAAACTATGTTTAGTTATATCTGTTATGTTTAAGCGCGTTATGTGAAATAGTTGGGGTAGATGAGAAATTTTTATTACACTTTGCGTGACGCATATTTATATAATATGTAACATACACCTTGAAAAGATGTATACTTATAGGGTTCCCCTTTAATTTTCCTAGGTCTGTACCATCTGTTCTAAATTCTTTACCCGCAAGGAGAGTTTAACCAGACATATGAAAACTCATACCGGAGAAAAAAGTTTTACTTGCGATGTTTGTCAGAAAGCATTTGCAAGAAATGGACATTTGAAACGTCATGCTTTGACCCATATCAAGCCTTCTAAAGAACACTCTTGTAATATTTGCGACCAAGTGTTCACTCAAAAGAGTGAATTGCTACAACATGTGCGCACGGCTCACTGCACTAAAAGGAAGGTCGATGCGCTCTATCGTCCCGTGAAAAAAAAATGAGGAAAGAAGGTGCTTTAAACGTATTTAGTGTACATACGTTTACACCCTCTGAGGAAAATGCGTCCGACTTTTTGTTATGTTTTGAAGAGATGCGCCCCCAAATTACATCAAAATTACAAGAAGAATTAGCCGACAAATCTGCTATTAAATGGTATGTCGTGGCAAAAGTTCATTTAACACGCACAACACGGGATGGGGAATTAGATGCTATTGCCCCCCATTTCCGATCTAAATGTGCTATTGAATTAATGGAGGAAACTGTGGAAGGTCATGTGGAAGAGGGATTTCAAAAACAAAAAATCCTAAAGTCCTTCGAAGCATTTACTCAGCGGGGATCGGGATGGATTCTCGATAAAATAAATCAATTAGATTTATGTGTGGCAAAATATCATCCGCTCGCCCCGAGTAGTTACATCCCCCTTCCCAAAAAGCTGGCTGATAAGAAAGCCATTTTAAATATCCAGAACATGGACTTAAAATGCTTCGTATGGTGCCTACTAGCACATAAAATGAAGATTCACTGGAAAAATAACCCTGAACGAGTTAGTCATTACATACCCTATGAAGCAGATATTAAATTAGGCAAGATCCAGTGCCCCGTTCCAGTCACGAAAATACCAGTCATTGAAAGACTGAATAATATCCGTATTAACGTCTTCGGATATGAAGATGATGAAGTGTTCCCCCTCTATGTATCCCCTCAAGAAAATGAGGACTGTATTAATTTGCTCTACATTTCTAATGAAGGAGGCAGTCATTATTGCCTCATTAGAAACTTTTCGCGGTTAATGGGAGATTTAACACGTCATAAGACATGCACCTTTTACTGCTATCGCTGTCTCCACAGATTTTCAGAGGAGCGAAATTTAAAAAATCATATAACGTTCTGCAAAGAACACTCACCGCAGCATATTAAAATGCCTTCAGAGGAAGATAAATTTCTTTCATTTAGAAATCAACATTTCCAACATCCAATTCCGTATATCATATATGCTGACTTTGAGGCTATCGTCAAAAAAGTGCATACGTCGGAACCGAGTCATGCTACCTCATACACACAACCCATTATGAAGCATGAAGCTTGCGGGTACGCTTACATCATAATAGGTCCCGATGGCAAAAGTTTAAAACCTGCTCACGTGTATCGAGGATCAGATGCGGTAGATAATTTTCTGCAAAATATCATCCGTGAAAAAGATGAACTTGCGGAAACATTAACTCACATCGTTCCATTAATTATGACACCCCAACAAGAGCAGGACTTTTTAACGGCTACGATTTGCAATCTGTGTAAGAAGCCTCTTTATAAGGATCGCGTTCGCGATCACGATCACTTGACGGGACATTACAGAGGAGCATTACACAGTTTATGCAATCTGAAATATCGCTTGCAGAAAAAGATACCGGTGGTCTTCCATAATTTGAAGCATTATGACGCTCACCATATAATGCAGGGACTGGGAAAGATCGAAGACCATCAAATTGAAGTCATCGCTACGAATATGGAAAAATATATCACTTTTGCCCTTAGCAAGAAACACAATAAGATCAAAGTTTCTTTACAATTCATCGACAGTTTCCAGTTTTTGAATACATCTCTTGAAAAACTGGTACAAAATCTGCCTGCAGAAAAATTCAACATTTTAAAGGAAAATGTAAGAGAAGGGGATCTTTCTCTTCTCTTGAAAAAGGGCATTTACCCTTACGATTACATCCAGTCCTTTGAGATGTTTGAAGAGACGGCGGCGTTACCACCTCCTGCCGCCTTTCACAATAGTTTAACGGACGAGGAGATTTCAGCGTCAGATTACGAACATGCACAGGCAGTATGGAACAGCTTCAACATCCGTACAATGGGGGAATATCACGACTTGTACGTGAAATCAGACGTTTTACAACTGGCAGACGTATTCGAAAATTTTAGGAAATTGTGTTTGCAATTTTATGAAATCGATTGTGCTCATGTAATGACATCACCCGGTCTGTCCTGGCAAGCATGTTTAAAAATGATTGAGCAGCCTCTAGAACTTTTAACCGATGTAGATATGCATCTCTTCATTGAACAGGGGATACGAGGGGGAATTTCAGTGATTACAAAGCGGTGGGCGCAGGCAAATAATCATTATATGCCAAATTACGATTCAACAAACCCAGAGAGCTATATCATGTATCTAGATGCAAATAACCTGTATGGATGGGCGATGTCGCAAGCATTACCCTATGGCGAATTTGAATGGATTTCTGCGGAAGCTGTAACCCCTGAATGGATTCTTTCCATTAGTGAAAATTCAACAGAAGGTTATATTTTAGAAGTTGATTTGGAGTATCCTCCTGAACTACATGACGCTCATAATGATTATCCTCTCGCACCTGAAAAGTTAAAAATTAATTTAGAAGATCTTTCTCCTTTCTCTCAGAACATCCTCCCCTATCAAAATTTCAATAGCCAAATTAAATTAATCCCCAATTTGAAGCATAAACAAAATTATATTGTGTATTATAAGAACTTACAATTTTATTTAAAGGAAGGTTTGAGATTGACTGCCGTACATAGGATTTTGAAATTTAAGCAGAAGGCCTGGCTAAAACCATATATTGATTTTAATACAGAACAACGCAAGAACTCAAAATCTGCTTTTGAGAAAGATTTCTTTAAACTACTGAATAATTCCATCTATGGTAAAACTATGGAAAATATAAGAAACCATGTTAACGTGCAACTTGTGAATGAACGGAAAAAGGCAGAAAAATTGGTAGCATGTCCCACTTTTAAACGATTCCAAATTTTCAGTGAGAATCTTGTTGCAGTGGAGAGATTGAAAAACACCCTCACTTTGAATCGACCAATCTATGTAGGTTTTGTGATTTTGGAATTAAGTAAAATTCTGATGTACAACTTCCATTACAATATTATAAAGAAGGAGTACGGAGAAAATGCGTCATTGTTATTCACTGACACAGATTCTCTCACGTATGAAATTCGTACGAAGGATGTATATGAGGATATGAAACATCGCAGCGACATTTACGATACATCAGACTATCCCCCTAATCATCCTCTTTACAGTCAGAAAAACATGAAAAAAAATTAGATGTATGAAAGATGAATTTTCATCTAAATTGGTTTATGAATTTGTGGGTCTGCGAGCAAAAATGTATTCCTTTTTATCGGAGACGGGGAAGAAGAAGACGGCAAAGGGCGTTTCACATCACGTCGTGCAAAGTAAAATCCTGCATGAGAATTATAAGCACTGCCTTCAAAACCTGCAGTCTAGACGTGAGATTCAATATAGAATTGCAAGTGAAGAACATCATCTTTTCACTCTTCGCCAGAATAAATTAAGTCTCTCCCCATTCGACGATAAAAGGTACATTTTGGAGGATGGCATCCATACACTAGCGTACGGTCATTATAAAATAGAGGCTGATAAAGAAAAAGTAAATTAATATTTTTTTGAATGTCATCATTGGTCAATGACTTCACAGTGGAGTTGTGGGAAGGGGCTGGCACCTGGGAATTCAAAAAAACCCCATGACTGTGAAACTGTGAAGAGAGACCCTCAGGTGTCAGAAAGCTGAGGCTTTCGATAAAAGCCCATGTGTATGTGTGTGTGTGTGTGTGAAATTTTAATGAGTATTATGTTATTCTTTCCAATATTTTTAACAGTTATTTCTTTGCAGAAAAGCAGATATTTTGTTTCAGGGTTCAATCCTATATTTTGAATCATAGAACATTTTTTTAATAAAAGAAACTTCTAAATAAATTTCTTTTCGTTAAATTTTATTTTTTCTTTTTCATCCCTAGAGGACGCCATGGCTCCGTTGCCAAATTAAAAAAAAACTAACTTTTAATGAAAAGCAGGAGGTCTACAACTCAATCAGCTATCTACCAACACCTCAACTCCTCTCGTGACCACGCCTCCTAGTGTGATGACGTTGCCTTTGGTCCCGCCCTCTGTGACGTCATTGACCACGCCCACACCGCACACCGCGTGCAGGTGAACCCGTATTTTTATACTACTAATACGTATACTGTGGATGAGTTCACTTCGGATTACATCACGATCACAGCTACATTGGATATAACAAAATTCAAGTCGCCTAAGGTTAGAGTCCATATAAATGGGTTGCTTTTTACGACATCCTCAAGAAACCCCCCTTAAAAGCAAAGGTCTCTCAAATCACTTTGATATCGATAAAAGGATTGATAAGCTACCACTGAGTTACCATTCGCTTAAACGACGTTTAGGCCTCCAACATTGTGATTGCAAAGGACTCTTTCAGAATGCTCATCAAAAATATAAAGCATTTTGTTACAGTAAGAAATCGCCTGCGTAGGATTATAAGGTATTTCTCCCGGCTTCTTAGCATGCCTTCGCGGTGTAATGCCCAGCACACTCGGAGCGTATTCGAGAGGTCGCAAGTTCGAGTCCGGCTGGGAAATTGCTCATTTTTCATGTCTCCTGTTTCAAAATAACCTAATGACCCAACAGTGATGCCCGAACTAAAAAATGTTGTGAATAATGATTCTCCACCACCAGGATTTAGCCACTGGGTTCCCTAATCGCCAGTCGCCCTTTAAAAGGGGGAGTATAAAAGGTATTTCTCCCACCTTCTTAGCATACCTTCGTGGTGTAATGGTCAGCACGACGCGTATCCGAGAGGTCCGAGGTTCGAGTTCCGTCGAAGGCATTTTCATGTTTCCCGTTTCAAAATAACCTAATGACTCTACAGGATATGGCAATTTACGTGGAATCTGGCAATGAAAATAGAGTTAAATTGTATCAACAAGAAGAATAAAACAGAAATTAAGAAATTCCGTTCTGATAGATGGAAATGAAAAATTGCAGATATAAAACTAAATGACAGATCTTTCTGGAAAATTCTCAAATCTCTTAAACACAAACACAAGTGTAGTCAGCCCATAACTGCTGTGAACTTTGCTACGTACTCGAATGTTGACAAGTTTTCAAGTTTGTCTGAGTGTTGAGCTTTCGCTGAACACTTGAATCAGCAATTCACTACTAGTGTGACAAATTCAAAATATAATGATGAAATAATCCTGATGAAATTCAAAATATAATTAAGTTGGACATAAAAAAGACCCCAGGTCTTGACGAACGTACGAACAACGTATTAATTAAGTTGCCTCCTAATACTATTGTAGAGACATTAGGTATTTTTGGAAGCAGGCGAGATGAAAAATGAGCAACGCTTTCGCCGGGAATCGAACCACGGACCTCTGGAATACGCGTCCAGCGTGCGGACCATCACATCACGAAGGCATGCCAAGAAGGCGGGAGAAGTACGTTATATACTCCCCTTTTTAAAGGACGACTGGGGTTTTAGGGGACTCAATCGCCAAATCCTGGGTGTGGAGAATCATCATCCAACACCCTTTTTTTTTTATTTCGGGCGCCATTGTTGAGCCATTAAGTATTTTTGGAAGCAGGCAAGATGAAAAATGAGCAACGCCTTCGCCGGGAATCGAACCACGTACCTCTGGAATACGCGCCCAACTAACGTGGTGCAGACCACTACACCACAAAGGTATGCCAAGGAGGCGGGAGAAATACCTTATACTATCTCCAAATTCACTAGAAATTTCAACACCAGAGTGAGGCTATGTTATTTTCCCAATTCTTGGAAATGCGTTAAGATCTTTAGTCTCCCCAAGCCCGTAAAAGACAGCACCAAAGTGGAAGGCTTTCGACCTACAACTGTGTTTTACAATCTCAGGAGAATTTATGAACGTATTGTTTGAAAAAGAATAAATTTCTATCTCGAACTTTTTCTTTCGCCCTAATATGGATTCAGGACTTCTCTTTATTCCAAAGCACCTTGTTAGGCTGATCAAATTTATCGCGGTAGCTCTGCACTATAAAAAGTTCACGGCATTGCTTATGCTAGACGTGGTGACAACTTTCGGCTGTGTTTAATATAAGGTATTGATCTTCAGATTGATCAAGATGAACTTTATTCGGTATATTATTCAAAAACATCATTGCAGGAGAGCACCGGGGCTCTTGACTCGGGCCCATTCTTTACCTTTCCCAAGTAAAACCTGGATTATAACTGTAGTTATAACTGTAGTTATAACTTTAGTTTGCCACTTAGGCGATTCGATGGTAGCCGTCAGCTCCATCTAACCAAATAATGACATCTCCAAACACCAGGATTTTGCTTCTTATATTAAGAACTGGTGCAGAAAATGGAGGATCAGTATAAATGCCTTTAAGCTCCTATTGATCAGGAGGCGCAAGATTCTGAAAAATCTCTACTTATTTAGTTGATACTCTTAACAGTATAAGTAATGTAATTTATCTGGGGTTGTCATCAACCGTAAGCTTATACGGAATTATCATAGTAAGCACACCATAGGAAAAGCCTGTGTTGTTGCAAATCAGCTTTCGGCATTCCTCGGAAACTACTGTGGACTGTCTCTCAATAAGAAGAGAAGGATTTACCTATCAACCTATAAGGCAAAGTCTATGCTACGCGTGGGCCAAGTCTTCCAAGTAACCGACCCTTTTGCTCTTCTCTTAAATGGTGCTTTTGAGTAACAACTTATGAATTAATTATTATCCTTTAATTCTGATGAGTAGGTTATATAGATTATATATACAGTAGAGTAAATACATATCTCAACTACTCCTGTACATTTAGCTAATTCACTTAGTTTACAGTACCTATAAAACAATATATTTAAATAACGTTCAAAATTCTCATAAAAAACATAATTGTTACAAGATGAGAAATGAGCCTTGTTATTTCAGTTGTCATTGGTTCCTTCTAGATAAAACATGTAATAAATATATGGTACCTTTAACAAACAGTGACGTGATAAGTATATGCATTAAGCAGTTAGTTAGTTGATGCATATTTGAAGCATATATTTATAATTAACATTCGCACAGGTACATAAACTATAAACACATATGAAACAAACGTATATCCAACACACTAAGTGTATTATGACGCATATACAAACATTTTGAAGGTAATATCAAATGTACGTAGAGCTCGGAGAATAAATCAGAGAGAAGTCAGGAAATGGCTGATATTTTTGTCGGAAGAAAAGTATACTTGTACTTAAAGCGTTAGCGAGAATATCTTTCATCCATTCTGGTACCAATGCTCATTTTAACTGCCGTTAATTATGCAGGCATTTGGATCTGTTATAAACAATGAGTTCAAAACGCCCCTAGAGCCCAGATCTATGCAATTTTCTAATATCAAAGTGATTTACCCTTAGAATAATTTACTAAAATAAATATTTTATAACATTTATTTATTTACGTATTGGGGGTTGTATTCTCAGACAACTTGTGAAGGATTATCATTAGGTTTCAGTTGTAAGGATCTTAAGTTTTACTA